GAGAACCGCCCTTATCTGTGGGACAGCACTCTATTGCTAAGGCTCCTGAGTTCGAATGGCTTCTGCAAAATAAGAGAATAAAATTTAAAAAAAGACAACAGAAGTTGAAAATTTGCCTAAAGCTGAAGTTTAAATAACAAACTCCTCGAATGCAAGTACATGGTATGAGTCCCCTACTTCAGAAGGACACCTAAATGTATACTTCAGGAAAAAAGTAGTTATTATTAAGCCCTCGCTTTTCTTCTACATAGTTCACGCACTTTGACTTTTGTGTTTAACTCATATTCAACCTATATAAGTAGGTAAAATTATCATCTTTTTTCAATTAAACTTTTTTTCTTTTCGCAAGAAAGACTAGAATTCCATCACTGGAAAATCTCAGGGGGAAATAGTATTTTTTCAATGGAAAAAAAACAACAAAAAAATGATGAACCCCATGTTTTTTATATATGTTTTGAATAATTAACACCTATTATATACTTCTGCACCTCTCTGTCGGTTTCCTTGTGTCTTCTTCTCTTTTCAAAGGTACTGCCTTAAACGAAGGCACTGAAACAGTGCCGCTATCCTCAACTAATTCGGAATATTGCTAGCCCACCTGGTGAATAACGGAACCACCTCTATCATGAAATCTGCTGACAAGTTCAAAGTTGGTCTCATGTACAACTGGAATTATGGTGTACTCACCGGTGAATTTGAAGTTTTAAGGACTTTCAAACACTCTATGAATCATTTACTTACAATTACTGTTCATTCCGCATCTCTTATATTTCACGTCAGCACCTGTACAAAAATGCTACTTAACTTCCACAATTAACGTAATCGTTTATAATTCCCGCGTGAAATTGACATACCGTATTTTTTTTCAATAACAGTTTTGATTTGATGCTATATCTCATGAATTATTCAGTTGAAAGCATATCTCGAAAATTACCTATTGCCTTATTTGTACATTTCTTTTTAAATATTTCTCTCAAATTTACCAGTATTCAATCTATTTCTAGATTAACAAATCATATATATTCTATAAGTTCTAATTAGTGTACATTTGTTCATGCCTGTAAAAATGGCTGGTTTCTGTTCCAGAAATAAAATTACGGAAAGCACAACAACACCATTGTTAAAGCAAAGCTATATTTCCATAGGAAACGTCATGGTTTCCATGCTTAGACCAATGTGGTTAGCATTAAACATTGCAAATGTATATCTTGTAAATGTACTTTCAGTGATGCATTATCCATAATTGTATTTTATACCATTTTGCAGCTTCCCAGGAGTTCCCTCCCTTCCACAAAATGGCTTGTAATCACGTGGCGGCATGGCACTTACGCAAAAATACGCTATTCTTTGGTTGGTCATAACTGTCAGCAGGAAACGGAACGATGTTTGGGTTGTTGCTTAACTATGATGGTGACCTTAGTAAAGGGTTTACAGTTTAACATTTAAAATAACCTGTTCTTATTTCTTGTACAATAGTTGAACAATTTAAACTTTTGAAAAAGTATTGATTTATGAAACTTCAGGATTGAAAATTTGTAAAATAACTGATCTTGCCTGTAAAAATGGCATCTGTTTCTTGTAAACTTACCCGCTTCTACAAAATATAAATTATTATTATCAGTATGATTTACAATAATACTCCTGATAGTAATACTCCAGTCTTCTGCTGAACAGCAAGCAATTAGATTACAACAGAGATTTCGACCCTCAAATGAAACGAATCCAGTCTGAATGTTGCAAGTCATTAGAAGTCCGTCATTCTAAGTTCAGCCTACAGGCATAAATCTTCGTTGGGTATCTGTAGACTATTTGAAATGTGGCCTACCGAGCTCTTGTTTATACGTTGGTGGCTTACACTATTGCTAAGTAAATGGTTAACGACATGAAGTGCGATTCACCGGAGAAAGCATTTATATTAGATCGCAATTCAAGAGGCTTTTTGGTCTCAGCAATATGTAGGGCGGAAAGGTGCTGAGTGCCGGCCTACATGTAGGATGATAACTGTGTATACAGTCAACTCCTATCTGCAAGACAGTTAGTCCAAACATGATGGCTTCTTTGTCGTTGGGAGCAAGTTAACCACAAAAGTGAAAGTTTGTAATGTAATTACTCGATGTGCTACCTAGAAAGAACAGTTTTGCAGTTACCTCAATGTCTCTATTGTTCATATTGCTCCCTTTGAATTGATTCGATCAAATGTTTTCTTTGTTTCGTTACAATCTGCAATTCCTAATATTTGTTCCAAACTATGGGCATCAAAAGTGAGCAATTTAAAGGCTATGTGACTACAGGAAAATCGGTTTATTCTTCATTAATTTGTCCATCTTATACGATTCATTTACCTCCTTTGATAGGGATCATGGATATATGACAAAGTCAGTCAGATCCTGAAACAACACCGGAGACGTCACTGTGGTTTAACAGCTGTGTTGTCTCCTATTGCATTAATCATTCAAATATGTCTCTGAACAGGCTAGAGTAAAATATTTTATTTTGGTTTACTGGCACTCTAGGAAATCATTTAGTTACACCGTACGTTTCTGGTCGGCCTCAACCATAAATAACGCTCACGATTGTTGCACAGCCATCTATCCTGCCAGACCTGAGCTTTGGTCATACTACTTGCTGACGCTTTTGCCCGGCCCCCTGGTGACCAGGCTGCTCTTAAAGTCCCAGTTAGAGGAGAGAGAAGACAACCCTTACGGCCACTCAGGGATGTACTTATTTAGATGCCGTCAGAGAGCAAAGAGATATATATAATCACACCACAAACCCCAGATGCCTGGTTCATATTCCTTGAAAACGTACTTGTCCGCAATCTGAACCTCTTAGTAGGGTTAAGAAATTGAACACCGAAAGCAAAATAGCTGAGATGCATCTGAGTGAACGAGCTTCTTTGATCTCTCCAGTACAACAAGCAGCCCGACCACTGAGTCAAGAAGGACTATGCTTGTAATAGATGGCCATATGACAGTTCCTATCATTGTTTTTGGTTGGGATGGACAAAGAACTATTTCAGAATTCTTTAGACAGTGTAGGCATTGCTATTCATAGATACGATTGATGTGGGTCATAAAAACTGATATTTACGCTTCAATAATAAATAAATGATGATGAAACGACTTCAGTTATGCATAATTGAGAACTTAAGAAGTCAACATGGATAAAAATTGCATCCGCCCGTATCCTTTACTTTAGTAAGCCTTAAGTTGCTTAGAGCGAGTCATGTCATGAAGCAAGCGGATTACTTCAGCTCAAAATCAGTCATAATGCTCGAAAGAGTTTAATATTTCTAGTTTTTGAGAATGCATTCTGAACCACAAATATTAACCTGAACGGAAAATCATTTTGATCCGACATGATTAATAGTGCTTTCTTATGGGCAGAGGAAGGAGCGGTGGGAGTGAAGTAACCAGAATATAACACCTGGAATTCTGTGGAATGGGTGCACAAGAAAAGTGCTGAAGGTAACACAGTCTTTTTGACCAGTTTTCACGAGAAACTACAAGCCAGTCATAAAAATCCGTACAGTTTATGGTTCCGTGGGAAGCCACACGTTTGGAAGCTTTTTTGTTGAGTGATTCAACTGCTATCATTGGGATGGTATAAGCTGACTTTCTGAAAGTGCTGCTGACAGTATTTTGTAATTAATGACCTCGTGACATCTGCATTAGTTGTGAATAGTGGGGTGACTCATTAATATTCAAACAGAGAAGTGAATGGTCATTGTTAAAAAATACAGAAAGTTAGTGGGAGTGGAGTACGACTGAGGTTAGCAAATTAAAGTCGCTATGAAACGTTTTAGTATCTTACTATCTCTGCATAACATTTCGCTATATGAATCAAAGACATTTGCTGTCACAATCCCCCTAAACTCGTCAGAATATAAGTAAACCACATGAATCTGCTGAAGTATCTTTTTATTCGATCCAACTTTGAAGGGGTTATTCCACCCCATCATGATCTGAATGGCTATTGACGAATCTGATAAAGGCCACCAATAGTCTAGTGACATTTGACTCGAACAAGCCTCAGGCCATGTATACAGCACTCGACTGCCACAGACAGTGTTATACTTCTGATGCAGTCGCCAGTCTCATACCACTGCAAACCGTGGTTCCGTTCTGCCTTCAAGAGAAGAATTGGATATATGCACTAATTTTTCAGAATAAGCAGCTAAAGCTTTGCAGCCAAGAACAATGAGTACATGTAGTTCGGAATATCCACTTTTGATCTGCCTCAAATGCTGCATGAAGCATACAGATGGCGTCACTGTTTGATCCATTCTGTAATGTTATCTCCAGCTTTGAACAGAACATCGTCCTAAGTGGAGGAACTTAGGCATCATCGTGGTGAGACGGACAGAAACCTTACCATTATATCCTCAGTTACCTTACAATGGAGCAGGGCAGGATTGTGCAGCAGTCACTCATTGAGAGGAATGGCCCCAAAAATTTTCCTTGGGACTTCTAATTGAGGTCAAATATCCCTTCATTCTGATTGTTCCATGCGGAACTACCGGCCTCTTCAAGTGGTCACTGATTCCCTATTCGGCAGCTTCAGTTAAAGGTCCACAATTGTTTTGCATTTGATGGAGTGACCTCGTTATTTGGAAAGATATTTTAATCTGAAGGGATATAAAAGACTCTTAGCTGTTAGCCCTTATTCATCATATTTCCCATTTTCCTCTCCTGTTTTTTGAACATTGAGTATTGCTTTGTTCACTTATATTTCATTGTCTCTAGTAACTCACTCAGTCCTCTGGTTTGGTTCGCACTAGTCTGAAACTGTTTGGGAATGAGTCTTTTGCCGAGCCTTGCAACAAAACTTCCTTGTATGAAATCATTACCAACCTGATCTTCATAAAAATGTTAACATCCATGATTTATAATCAGGCACCAAGAGATTAACAAATTTTTACAGTCTTGGTACGAATATGCCGCGCATAGATATTGGATATTGAAGTCAGTGAATTCGGACACTGTATAACCGTAATACTTCTGGGGTTTTGGTTGGACTGCCTGCCGTTACGCCATTAATTTCACATATTGATGACTAAAGTGGAACCGTTCTATGGTTTTTCTTGTGCTTCTTACTTGTTTGAGTGTCCCAGGAAGTTGTGCGGTACCTGTCCGCATGGCGGAATATTGCGTTTAGTTTAGGTGGTTGGTTAAAATTAGTAATGTAGCAATGAAATGAGTTCTTTGTAATATGTCCATTATGAGCCAGTTGATCAGTCCTAGTGATGCGTCGCTAGAGCACTGCTTCACTAATATCTTTGCTCTGGTAAGTATCTAAGTTGTTAGTTTTTATTGAAATTAAAATACTTATTTCATGTAAACTAATTGGATTTCATTTCACGTAGACTGATTTCAGCGGCATACAGTACCGGAAGTACATTATTCATACTCCAAAGGAATATAATGACCCGTTGAATGATCCCATAATAAAATCATATGCTCTTTGTCAAAAGTTTGGTGTTCTTTCTGCTTGGGTGCGTTCGAAACCTGAAGCATCAGATTCCTCAGATCCATGTGCGTTTTCGAAATTTGCGAAAGAGCTTTGGGTGTTTTGGTACGGAAATGATGAATTCCCTAATGCCGAAAGCTGTATTCTCCCCGAGCTTCGGAAAGAAGATCATGGGAACTGGCGTCAAGGTTTATCGTACGAAACGAGAACTGTCCTGTTTCGGGCGTTACATAATGTAGTTGAAAGGTTTGTGCTGCACTTCATATGTTGATTTTCTTAGGTCTTTGTATACCAAAGGATTCGTTCGTCTGGGTAAATGGTTTTTGCAGCCTCGTAAATGTGGTACCAGCGATGATTAGTAAGATTCACTTATGAGTACCTAATGGTTTTCAGTACCCAGTATAGTGTCAGTTTTTCGTTTTTTCTTCATGGTGAGAGTACGGTATGTGCCAGCCTCGACATCCGTCAACATACTGCAGTCCAAAGAGTCACTACTGAGCATATCCAGAAATGTTTAACAACCCAAACAATTATGCCTGGTACGTCTTTCGCAGTGTATTTTTCGTTTCAGTCATGGTTTATCGTACCACTTATTATTTTTAAAAGGTAATTAAGTTCGCAATGACTGCCACTTATTCTTAATAGTAAGAAAACAATGATTCATCGCCTCTCTAGTCCTTATTCGCATCCTGTGGACTGTTGCCTAGTGGCATTCTTAAGGGTAGGCGAGACATATGACGTATCTGGAAAGTTTTGGTGAATCAATTTTTGGCTTCATGTGTTTTGGACTGAAAATTTCGGATAAGGCACGAATGCTTCTGTCCGGAATTTCACTGATTTTGTTGTATAATTTTCAGTTCGTTTATTAATAGTTCTTGGCTGCACTTTCATATCATGTTGCTTTTGTTTCTCTTAATCCAGGAAAAGGTTAAAAATTAGCTAGATGTACAGTGTATTTCTCGAAATGTGTGATATCTCATGTCTGTGGGAGAATCAAATTAATGCTTATGCCCACTGAAACTATCCCATCTTGTTTTGATTACTTATTACAAGTGGCAAACAACACACTTCATGCTATGTCAAGCATTACTTGGTTAGAAAAGTTTGTTCGTAATATCTCTAAGATGCAGCGTTCATATGATTGATGCACTGTATCAGTATAACATTAAAATCCAACAAAAGTAATTTTGATGACTAGCAGTATGAAAGGCGGATTAGTTAATATGCGTGAAGTATTCTTCTGCAGAATATTTATCTGTAAATACTTCACACATCTTGTTCACAAGAGCTACAGTTTCATGCTTGACTGTGATCAAGTGTCTGGCGTCCCTATGGCACAGATGCATTCACTTATATCTGAATTTCACTAATTCCTCATTATTCGTCATGTAATTATTCCTTTTTCCACACATTTCCGTTTATTCTTTTATCTGCCTTTGTGTGCCCTTTTTATAGTGTGACAAATTTCACTTGTGTCAGTTTACTGTGTTGAAAATTTATTTCACGGTTAACTAAGAAATGTGGTGGCGTATATTTGATACTAGGTTGTTAAAACATTACTTTTGAGTCTTAATAATAAGCGATAATTGAACTACTAAGAACATGACTATGATTAGGGCTTAAAACCAAATTTTGTCGTCACATAAATTTCCTGAGAGTTAACGTAAACAAGAAGTAGGGTGAGATATGATTACCTACGGGTAATATCTATCGTATATAAATATATTTGCGTATGTAGATACATTTCGAATAAACAAGAATATCTAGAAGAATAATGGTTTTTACTAATACACAAATATACATGGGTATAAAACAAGGTGTATTTAGTAAGTTTATGCAAGTTTATGAGGGCAGTGGGCATATATGAAATCGAAATCGTAAGACTATGCGTACTGCGTTTAAAAATATAGACTCCAAAGCAGGATATATATATATATATATATGATGTTGAGTTGGCTAAGCTGGGTAGTTTAATTGGAAAGCTTCCATTGTCTTTTTGTACAGCTTTGATGTGAAGTGAGTTTGAGGAATTCCCCAGCTTCTCTGATGATCTTGACTGTAATTGGTTTCCCGTTACATTTTTCGTATGTTTGTATTCACTTGCATTGATACTGATTCTCCCGTTGACTTTTTGGTGATGCGACAAATTCGATGTATATCAAGATGTGTATTAATTACAAATTGATTTAAGTATCAAGCTTCTAGTTCTCTGATATTCTTTGTGTTTCCTCTGTCTGACATTTTCCCGTCTTCCCAGCTGAATAGATGCCCACGATCGTCCACGTCTATTAATATGAACGAATGTATGTCATGTCTTTTGGCTGCTGGTGTTTTGCGCAGTTGATGCGACCTGTTTTATTGGTGATGGTTTAATTTTCGTGTTAGGTGTTTTGATTTCATATAATATGGAGTGAAAAAACCGTTTTGGTTTATGAATGACGCCTATTCCAAAGATTTCAATACTCAGTAATTTAGGAAATGTACAGTAGTATGGCTTTCCTTGTCGTTCCACAGAATGATTTTATGTTGGTCGTTTGAGTCTATGATAGATATCTTTTAACTAGGCTTTTTAGGCGTCTACTTTTAGAACACTCATAAAGTATGAATCCTATCCTTCACAGGATGGTTGTTTTTGTTCGAACTCGGTCCGAAGAACAGGTCACTTAATCTTACAACTCTGGAATAATTTTTCACAAACCTTGTGTCTATTGGTCGTTGCTGTTTTAGTTGGGTATCTGATGTCTGTGAGTTGACTTTCTGCAAATTTATACATGTTCGCTTGATGAAGACATCCGAGAATAGGATTTCGTTCTCCGACTCTCTTGTCGATAACAAGTTTGCGCGTATTTCTTGTCCATTTGATACTGTTTATTCCATTAGGTTGGTTTTACACCTAATTGTTTGTGTCAATACTTAGCTCAATCAATCAATAATATTAAGTGAAACGTTTAGGATGCGGATTCACAATTGAGCATTAACAGTTTACACACTCGTTTTCAATCAGCGTGTTAACACTCCAAGTTTAATTCTGATTCTTCAGCTATATTATTACTGATGCTTGTAGTGTATGGCGTAGCAGCTCACTCTATAATTCTATAATGATGGGTGTCTTCTAAGCATTTAAGTATTGTCATCCAAGTCATCTATAATCCTGCATTTGTTCTCCTCTTTTGATTGCTTCTCCACCTACTAAAGTTTGTTAGGTGCAACTCTGCACGACGTACACCACATGTTTTCGGCTTACTGCGATGTCGTCTTTAAACATTTATCTCGGTTACACAGATTTTCGTTTTTTATTTTAAATTAGTGTATAGTACAAGGTATGTTAAGTTCTTAAACTTCTTATCACAATTGAAGTTAGTGATTACCTTAGTTAACACCTGTTTCTTCCGAACTCAAATTAATAACAGTTTTTCCTGATTTTTAATATAGTCATTTTGGCGCCTTATGGCATATCTGCTGGACTGACAGGGTTAACATGTGACAAAAAAGATGACGATATGACTGCTGAGTCAGAAGCTTGGTCAACTTTCTATCCACTTAGATCCAGTCACGAATATGAGTCTACCATAAGCTGTGTTACTGGCCTACCATTTTTTGCTATGGCGACGCCTATAAGTCAGAGTTCACGTCAACAAAACAGATTCGGTAGTGATAAAAAAAGACCATTGGAGGAAACAAATCGACGATGTGCAGATGTTCCACCCAAATTTGTTGAGGTGATTGTTGGTGAGTTGTGCTGAAGTTTTCTTTTTTGTCAGAATTAGTAATTTTATGATATACACTCATCTAAGATGCGTGAATAAGAAGTACTAGTTTGCAACCACTTATTCAGTTGCCGGGTCTTCTTGTAGAAGCAAATTATCTGTATTGATGATACTAAGTAACTGCATTAACGAGTAGCGCTCAAGTTATTAGGGGCAAAGGATTTTCTGTTATAAATAACGTGAAGTTCTAGCTTTTTAGGTAGGTTAACTTAATATTTTGTGGCAGTAAGCTAGAAAAGGAATTAACTTCACGAGTATATCCATTTACATGGTGATTCTACAAATCAAGCACCAACAGGTGGTACGATTCTAACGTCGTCTGAATTTGGTTTTTTTGGTGGTGAGAATATATTCGGCATTTGGTTATGGGTTGGCGTAATCAGCTGCTTCTTCAGTAGCTGAGTGCTTCCAAAGAGAAATTATTTGCTTAAATTACTCTTCATCATACAGTTTTTACACACAGAATAAATAGAGCCTAATGAATATGAATAACTGATAAAAAGCCCATTCACGATACATTGGATATTTTTGCGAATTTTTCACAAACTTAATGCTTTATTGGACAAAATCTTGTCAATCTGCTTTCAATATGCAACTTTTTGAGAAATTGTATATACTAATGACGAGAAAAACTTACGCAAGTGACCTAAATAAGTTATTTACGTTTTAATCCCGTTCGAGTTTCATGGCTGATTTGGTGTGTGACTCGTACTTATGAGCTGGTTTTTTTCAGTTTAATTGTAATATTCTAGTTATCTTTGAACGTCATATTTACGGCGAGAATTATTTTTTATTTTTCTAATAAATTTTCATATTTTTTTAGATGGTTTTCGTATGAGATACCCTATGTGTTTCGTTCTTGTAACTGCCGAAAATGATTCATCTGGACAACAAGATAATAGTGCAACATCTGAAAATGAGGTTGCTACTCATTATTCAGAAGTTCCCGGTCAATCCTTGCAGACTTCTGTTTCAGCCCCCTTCACGTCAAGCAAAAGCAGTTTTATGCATGACACTCATATCCTCAGCAAGTTGAAAACATCCTCTTTTTGGCGAACAAGCAAGCGAAAGAAGCGTACATCGTTGCGAAATAATCGTATACGTGATTTAGCATGGCTGAAGACAGTTGTTTCCAGCAGTCCAATACAGTCTGACTTTTTAGTAGATATTCGTCACATCTATTTGGCTGGAAGAACTCTTCAACGTGCATCTCAAGGGAATCATTCTGTTATTTCGATAAAAGAATGGCAACCCAAACGATTACATACTTCTGATAAAGATGATATAAGTGGAAATACTGATGGGGTTTCTGTTTCCTTACAGCCAGAAATGAACTCGTTGTCCCTACAAGATCCTTGTACAGTCTTGCAATGTTCTTGTAACAGGTAGTTATTCTTATACCAAACTATTATTATAATTCCTGCAGTATGTAAAGAGTAGTGTTTTTGTAAACAAGTTTAATTGCGAGTTCCTGTTTACTTAAGATTTGCTCAACAACCATTGTGCATATTCTTCTTATTTATTATTCCCTTGCGTTCCGAGTTGAAAATAGGGCTTCAACAACACGTCTCCACTTTGTTCTGTTTTCTGCCGTGCTCTTCAGCTGGGTCCAAGATTGCCCAAGCTCTCTCATCTCCTCCGCACCACTCGATCCCCTCCATATCACTCTCGCACTGACGACCCATTCGTCGCTTCCCATTTAGATTCCACTCGAGGTTCTGGCGTGCGATGTAGTTCGGTGGCCTCCTCAATATATGCATGATCCATCTCCACTTTCGCCTACATATTTGCTGAGCGATCAGCTCTTGGTTGGTTTGTTCCCATAGTTTCCTGTTGCTTATTCTTTCTGGCCAGCCATTTGATCTTCAGTATGGAATCAGCGAAGGTGGCAGCTGTTGATGAAAGTCTGCAGTGGCCTGTTGGAAATCCTTTTCGTCACACGCAGTGCAAGTTTCTGACCCGTTTAGAACTGACTGGACATTGGTGTTGAAAATGCGAATCTTGTTGCTCATGCTGAACGCGGAAGATTTCCAAACTGGTTTGAGGTTGATGAAGGCGTATCTTGTCTTTCCGATTCTGCCCGGCTTCAACATCTTCGTCCGTTCTTCCTGTGGTTGAAACCATGCTTCCTAGCCAGATAAGTGAAGGAGGCAACCTCTGTTAAATCTCTCCCGTTGATAGTGATTGGTGCTGGTTGTTGTTGCTGTTGATCGGTTATCTGCATCCGTTTTCCTTTTCTCTATGTTCACCTGCAGTCCTGTTTTCATTGCCTCTTCAGTCAGTTTATTGGTTTTCGCTTGCAAGTCTTCGTGTTTGTGTGCCATTAAACATATCATTTACGAAATTCAGATCTTCTGGAGTCTTCTTATCTGTCAGTGCAGTGTATTGCTGTCTTCTCACTTCCAACGCTCAGTCTGACACATAATCCGGTTCACCATTCCTTGTCTTGTCTTTTCCTTCTTCCTAGAACAGTTGTACACGTCTCCTTGCCTGCCTCACCTGCCTTGAGGGAGTCAGTTCCTCAGTGGTGCCATGAAGTGTATCCGACTTTGCTGAGATCTGATCTGTGGTGAAGGTAGTATCCCTTTTAGTCTTCTCCTTCAGTTTCTGAGTGTTGAACTTGAATAACAGTGGCCTTTCTCCAGTTGTTCTAAAGGATTTTGGCTCCACCTTGAAGATTCCTTGAGCGACATTGAGATGAAATCTATCTGGTTTGAGGTGTGTCCGTCAGACGAAATTCATGTCGCTAGCCCTGTGTATATCCTTGTACTTGTAGACGCTGCCTCCGACCACCAAATCATTGGAGGTGCAGAGGTCTGATAATAATTCTCCGTTCTCATTCATTTCTCCGAGTGAGAGCTTCTCGACCCATGATGAGTTCTGTTCCTGTAGTATCTGCCACCAGTTCATCTGGCTATCTTATCTCCCATAATTATTTTGATGTTTCCATTTGGAGTGTTGTCCATTACTGGTTGTAGTTGTCTGTAAAAATCTTCCTTCTCTTGTTCCGCGTTAGCTGTAGTCCCGTGCTAAGCATTGGATAATTGTGACCTCACTTCCTCCATTCCTTCCTTTTGAGTTGAATCTTGCTGTCATGATGCTGGATGAGGGGATTGGTTCCCACTACATTAGGGCTTTGGCTGCCACTGATGACATCATGATAGCCATTCACTCACTGCCTCAGTGTGTTCGTGGTCGTCGTCTGGGAGATCAGACCAGAGTAGATTACTGACTTTCCAGTTGACAATTTTGATAATCCACATCCATTTCATCTGTTCTCGCAGATACCCATCACTTCTACGCCATATCTTCGCATTTCTTTGGCTACCTGGGCAGCCTTCCCAACCCTGCCTAGCCTCGTACATTGTACGGGCATTCCACGTCCCTATTCCTATTCTTGGTTTTACTGAGCGAAGACACATTGGTTAGCTGACTTGCTTCCCGAAGGCTGGCTTTCACCAGCCTTTTGTGTCATTTCGCCTCTCCGATTCGAGCGAAGAATAAGATTTTTATTCGAAGTTTTTGTATTTTGAAATTATTTTCTGTGTGTTGAAGCTTCTCTAGTGGTATGAAAGATTAAGTGGTGTAGGGTTGCTAGCCCCACGCTCAACCCTTTCTCTTAACCCGGGCTTGGGACCGGCTGGAAAACTAGCGAGCTAGTTAACTGGGTATATTCTTAAATTAGCGTAATTCTTTGGAATTGAGAAACGTGAAGGTGGTAAGATAATCAATAGTTACACGTAAAGAGATTTCAAGAATTTTGATACTCTTTTATTTTCAGACGAATAATTAACTACGACAACTTAGATTGGTACGTAGTTATTCCGAATTTCGGAATGTTAATTTCTGTCTGCATGATGGATTAGGATTCTTTTGATGTATACTGTGAGTACGCGTAGCATGTTTCGTAAGATTGTTTTATTATTATTGTATTATTCTTGTATATCTAATACTTTGGGTTAACTTTTAGGTTCTCAAGACTCCGTCGAACCACTGCCTGGAGTTCCTTTCATCAACAAGATCCTTACCTTCGAAAATTCCTGAAAGCATCAGTCCATTCTTACATGTCTTTCTGTGATCGTCCGAAAACTCCGCTACCTGTGGTTACAACTAACCTATCTGCGACCCATGACCCATCTATGCCGACCCTAAGTCCCCAACAACCTGCCCCAAATCAGACATCTAATCTTAATTCAAGTGCTATGCTGAATGAATTGAATGGCGATTTCGCGTGTGATCAGAATCCATCTCTATCTACACCGACGTCTGTTCACCTACCGACAGCACCACAGCTCCCATCTCTTCTCCCAAAACCTGAAAGTAATTCTGTCTCGTCTTCAGTTATTAAGGTAGTTACAAAATTTGTTTTTAAGTGTGACTCAGCATCTTTCAAGTATCATTAGTATTTTCTATCATAAGAACAAACTTTTTCATAGATCATGTTACTTTCAACATTTGCTTCAGTTTTGCCGTATACTGTGTTGTTATAATCACAATTATTCGTTGTTTTGCAGGTACCTAATGGATTAGTCGCTGTTGACTCATCTGTTTCCTTGGATTCCCAAACACAGTACGCTAAAATGTCCACACGACGCATCCCGATTGCTTCCATGTCTGTAGCAAAAAGTAATTTGTTTAATACTTGGTTAGCTGGCTATGCAGCACAAGAACTGCATAAGGAGCCTTTCGCTGATATCAAGCGTCCGACTTTATACCTCAATATTCCAGATCAGATTGAAAGAGAACAATATGCTCATGCTGATGGTGTTTCTGCGCAACCTACTTTTGAACAGTCATCTCCAAATTACAGCTTAGTTGATGAGAATACATTTTGCAAAGACAACAATGCAATATCTGAGGAATGGTAGGTGGTGCTGTTGAAGTTGTTGTATTCTATTTTATGATGGTTCCTTCACTCTTGGGATCAATCTTGAAGAAGTAGAAGACTTGAAATCTTACTTTTAGGAGTAGAACCAGGTTTTATATAACTCAAAGGATGTTAACATGCTAGTCGGCAAGCTCCTGAAACTAGCTAAATCATATTCTTACTTCCAACAGTCAGTAAGGTTATGATTATTCGAGTGAGAAATTCTTGATATTATAAAGTGCTCGTCAGCAATCTACAATCAAATTGCTCTCACAGATCTTCGTTCTCATAATTATGAAGACTGTACTTGTGCTTCTATCTCGTAGATTTTTCTCAGCTTTAGTTTCAGTCAACACCAGTGGTCAATTGGGATTAGTATTGGAGGGTGGCGATTTAAATGCTTTTCCATTGTAGTACAAGGATTTCATCCTATTCACGTTCTACATGAGTATACCATTAACCCATCTGCCTCCACAACAATTTCATTGACTTGTTATTTTAGACATTTTTCACTGGGTCCAAATAAATTACTCCCCAGTATTCCTAAAACTTCCTCTCTCATGCTTTTTTACTTCCTACTGCTTGCGGTGGTTTCTCATCGTCATTCTTTATTAGCCACTTTCACCCCAGCTCCAATGAGTTTCGGTTCGAAGCCGTTAACTCCTATTATCTAACTTGAAGATATGGTTCACTGTTTACGACTTGACTTCAAGTTGAGTGTAGCTCTCATCGTCCAGTGACTTCTAAGTCAGTTGTTTTTCTTAACGTACATTAAGTACTTAAAACTAAACTTGGACTTTCCCACATTGCTAATCCTAAAGCTGGTTACACTACGATTTTAGATAATGGTACTGCAAATTATTCAGTCTCTTGACAGTGTTTTCTTGTGAATTGAAATGATAAAAAATTGTTGACCAGGAAGCTAATTACACATCAGTTAATAACAGCTTCTGTTCCAACACTGCACAGTTAACATTGAGAAAGATATAATTTGTGAATTGAAAAAGAGATTTACTCTGACCAAGCGATAACATTAAGTATACACTGTAATCATAACGGTCTTGAGACAGACAAGCTGAGAAATCTTAATCAATACGGAAGTGATTTCTTTTTTACGCCGGTAAAAGAAATGTATAGTTAGATGAAAAAAAGGCAAACTAAGAAAGAGAAAATTTTGATTCTGAATTATAATACACTAGTTCTGAAAATGACCATAATCGGTTGTTATCAGGATCACATTGGATTACAGTTAACGCATGTGAATAATGTTGTCGGTTTACGAGACGATAATCTGTATCTCTCTTAGAAGTGTACTTTTACTTGATGGTTTATTGGTGCGATGTTAAAAAGTATTTGTTTTCGCACTATTAAGAAGTTGATAAATCCATTTCAGGTTACCTGAAACTTGGAATCCTATAAACTGAGACAAATAGGTCTTGTGTTGGCTATTTTTGGTGCCATGTTAAACTTGTGTGTTTTTTCTATAGTTTGGTTTGTAAGGATTAGTTATGTTTTACGAGTTGATCACGGACTGATATCAGTTAGAGAACCATTGAAAACCAGGGAGTACTGGACAGCTGCTGTTCCATCCTAGTTTGGGAATCATCGGCAGTACGCACCCACTGGGATTCGAACCCGGGACCTTCCGATTACAAGGCAAGCTCGTATACCATTCAGCCACTGGGACCCGATTCAATGGCTCATGAATTCTAACTTCTACCAATTCGTGATTTTAGCGCGACCCCAACTATTGTCGTTGGTGGAAATCCATCCACACGTGACTTCTAATTGGACCTCACTGGTCACGACTTCCACTAGAATGCAGGAACTCCAACCTTCAAGTCACTAGCGAGCATCAGAATAATTTTCTATAGTTTGGTTTGTAACTGATATCAGTCCGTGATCAACTCGTAAAACATAACTAGTCCTTACAAACCAAACTATAGAAAATTATTCTGATGCGCTAGTGACTTGAAGGTTGGAGTTCCTGCAGTTCTAGTGAGAAGTCGTGACCAGTGAGGTCCAATTAGAAGTCACGTGTGGATGGATTTCCACCAACGACAATAGTTGGGGTCGCGCTAAAATCACGAATTGGTAGAAGTTAGAATTCATGAGCCATTGAATCGGGTCCCAGTGGCTGAATGGTATACGAGCTTGCCTTGTAACCGGAAGGTCCCGGGTTCGAATCCCAGTGGGTGCGTACTGCCGATGATTCCCAAACTAGGATGGAACAGCAGCTGTCCAGTACTCCCTGGTTTTCAATGGTTCTCTAACTGATATCAGTCCGTGATCAACTCGTAAAACTTGTGTGTACCCTTCATTCCACATCGATTTTGATACATTTGTTTATCGAAGGGAAAATCACGCAATGTGCCTGTAGTTTTCCAGAAATTGTATCTCGGAATTCAAATTTTCCCTTTTTTTAAATTTGTCTTTTTTCCCCTGCCTCACCACGTATTCTTTAGCTAGCGTACACAAAGTTACTTTCTCATTGAGCTTTTTGATGCTAACTTCATGCAGTTTTTCTACCTTAAGACTATTGTGATTATAGTGCATGAAGTGTTGTACCTTGATTAGAATGGTTCTCTTTTCAGTTTGCCTTTTTCTCGATGTTAGCTGTGCAGTGTTTAGGTGGGACTTATTATTGGATGATAAGCATAGCTAGATTTCCTGTCATTGCTCTTTTAAGTTTTTTAAAAGATGGTTTCCTACTTTTATCGACTTTCGTATTCTGTTGTTACAAAGCATGGTTGCTAAAACTGACACAATTTAATGCATTTGTATTCATTGGCGGTTGTCCTGAGGAACAAGAAGCATCATGCCATAGATGAATACAAATGCGGCCTGTGTGATTTCAGAAATTCCTCTTACTAGTCGGACACTATAGTTTACTTTTATATTTCCGTAGGTTATATCACACGTTTGAATTCTGAGTGTATTTATATGTGATTATTTTCAGAATAAAATATGATCCCATTTCCTAAAAATTGTTTCTAGCTTACATCGAAACAAACGCCTTCGTCCTGCTGTATCTCGTACGGATTACAATGAATGCTATCTAAACGACAATGCATCAATCATGACAACCGACGTTTCGAATGTGAATTTCACCTCTGGCAATCCGTGTAAGTTATTTTACTGCTCTAATATTATCTTGTTTGTAATTGCGGTATCCTAATTTGTTGTTTTTATTATTCTCAGATTCTCCAGATGTAAAGGTTGGAGTATCGGAATACAGTGGTTTGACGGATGATCCCAGTTGTACAGCACTAGAAATGAACACTCATTCGGCACTGTTGCATTCATTAAATGGTTCCGTGGTGAATTCGACTGGGACTTTTAATCGTAATGTGGGACTGATTGCTCATGTAAGTTTTTTGCTGCATGTTATTCACAGCTCTCTAATTTTCTTTCGCTTCATGATAAGTTGACATTTATATTTCCCAACGTTTAACACTTATTATAATAAAGCGCTATTCTGAAATTTTTAAAGTTTTTCTGATTAAAAGGATATTTGTACAGACAAATATCTGCGGACAAGGTTGATACATTCCCTTGACATATGTTCTTCAAGTTTATGTCCTCTGGTGTTCGGAATAATAAGCTTGATAATCACATTGAGTTTAGAAAAAAGCTTTTGTCTTCTGTCGTCTGTAATTAACTCAGCGTGGAGGTGTAGCTCATTGGCTTAAACACTCAGTTCTCAGCCAACGGGTCTCAGCTTCTAGTCCCATCTCAATTCAGTTTGGTTAACTAAGTGGTATCATCGGCTGTCACACTATAAGTGTAGCCCTTAGCCTGGTACATGAAAAATCTGCTGGGGATGATTGATTTCGAACAAAAATCATCCAGCATTAAATTTTGCTAAGTATCTTGCTGAAAAATCGTATTGATGAACATTGAGGAAGAGATTAATCAGCATTTCAAAACTATGCAAGGTAGTTTATTTTCTTTCAGATAAAAGTAAGTAGACTTATTTAAAAGCCCACTTTTTATTATTTAACTTTCCATGCACAGGGAGAAACATCTAAAATATTTTGGAAAAGTCGAAACTCGTTACAGCAAAAGTTTTTTTTAAGACCAAAAAATTGGCTGAAACATTCTTTGAGCTTACCGTTATTCGGTAGACTTCTGAACGGGCTTGATTTGAATTAATGTTGTCAGGTTAGATTAAATCTCCATTTCCTGAGTGTAGTGAAATATAAGTCCCTATGTTTGTATGTCGTTGGTTGAAGGGTATGATGGTCGCCGACCACGCAGTTAGTCCACGTTCGATTTTCGACCAACTTACTCCGAAACCCTGACTAGCCGGTAGTAATCCCAGAAAAGAGGTTTAGTGGGAGGCTGGAAACCCCACCTCCTGAGGAAAAACTGCTGCTGGAGCAGTATGTCACATAGGGAACTCAAGGAATGAATAAAAATCGTTATCCTTGCTTAGGAAATTTTCTGGCAGATACAAGAGACAGTAGGCTGCTAATTCATTTGTTCAGAAGTACTCTTTTGCTAGACCTTGCATGCCGTCAGAAAATGTAGACAGTGGTCACTATTGCTCACTATTTAAGATAATTCACTGCTATTCAAAAAGTGTAAATTTGATGTGTTTGTTAAAAAATGGGAATGATTCTGACTGATCATAGCCAATGAATTTTTAGTAGTTTCTTCTAACTATCCAGCCAAAATGCCTTTTTCATTTTTTAACTGTGCTTTGCGTTTGATGCATAGTTCAAATTGACTTTTGTTGTGTTAAAATCGAATATGATCAACGCCAAGGTTTTTACACATTTAACCATTTCAGTCACAGCTTGGCTTTTTAGTATCAGCACCTTATCTGTTGTCTATCATGATCATGTGCGTCGGTGGTACAGTGGTTAGGTCTCTCGCCGACCGTGCACATGGTCCTGGGTTCGGTCCCCTGCCGACGCACACCCGATATCTATGGTCGGCCTGCAAAATTTGGGCTACCGATATCCATGCTGAAAATTCCATACTTGTGCTGAAAATACGGTGTGGCATCAAGCTTTAATCAAAAATAAAAAAATAAAAAATTACTATTCATATTGAAAAGCAATGCGTCGGTGGTTCACAGGTAGGTTGCTGGCCTAGTACTCATGTGGTCTGGTCTGGATTCCAGACTGACGCACTTTTAAACCTCGCATGGGGGAAGTTTTGGCACGAAAAAAGACATCATCGGTACTGAAACTTCAAAACCTGAAGGTCATGTTCCACTCGGAACGCGGAGAAATGAAAAAAATATTGCAACGGTTTAGAATTGGTCACGACGTCGCTTTAACTAGTTTTTCCCAATGTATTTATCATTCTATTTCATTTTTATGTTAACCTGAGTTATACAAAAATCCTATCTAAGATAAACAAAAAGGAAGAATTTAACAAATAATGGGCCAACAAAGAACTTTGCACAGAAGTGCATCAGTTTAAAAGGTGGCATTTTGAAAAGTAAATGAAGTGTGATGCTACAACTGCGAAACTAATACGACGGAGGGAATAGTTATGTGAATAATATAATACATTTCAAGAATTCTGAAAACGACAAGTTGTTAGTGCATTGTGAATGATTTTAAATGATGTCAGCAAGACATTGTAACTAAAAACCTTATTACTTTTTAGTTGTATCATGTTATTTAGACAATGGACGAGGAAGTGTGAATTGACCCCATTCATGCAATCCGAATTCCTTTAAATTCTAGATACCACGCACCTTAGACACAAATTCCCATTCACAACATTTGTATTTTTGTCACTTCTCATCATGTTAATATTTTGTTTTAGAGAGGCGTCAGTCTTGCCAGTAGCACTGGTTCTGGTCACATCGGACCAGCAGAGTTGGCCTTGATGCTGCCTACACCACCATCTCATGATGCCCCTCAGCCTAGTCCAGTGGATGGTATTTCGGTAGTTACCAATCGTGTGAATACCTCTACAAATTCAGTAAGCACTCCAGGACCTGGTTCTCCATCTGTCCAAACTATACTGGATCCATCCTCCTCTGTAGCATCCGACATACCATGTCATCCGAATTCTTTAGCATATCAGCCGGCCAACTCACCACAAATCCTTCAAAATCAAGGATTATGGCATTTGGCAAAACAACCTTGCATACAACATCTCAGTTGTGTCAGTACAGAATCTCAAGTGAGTTTGGTTTGGTTTTATTTAGTTATTTAACCTGTTATTTCTAGTGGGAATCTTCACTGTGTTTACTAGATTTCTGCTTAGTGTAATGTCTTAGAGCATTATTGGGGTAATGATTAGATTATGATAGTGAAACCTAGTAACCACGTGTACTCTGATGCTAATTAATGAAAAACAATACTGCAACTCAGTGACCCGGTAAATATCTGTGCGAGTTTATGCACCACTCTTGATACGTGAAGATATGTTTGGATATCAACTGGTTGGGTCGTAGATCGAAGTGTAATATGTTTTGAAACTGCGACCTATCTGAGTTTTAGCTGATGAATTGCATCATTATTTGAAAGTTGTACAGTTTTCTCTTAAAGCCCAACATGTACAGATCACAAGATTTGGTCTGCTTGACACTATGAATGGTACTAAGAAGGCAAAACTACAGTGCAACACGATACAAACTACTAACCGAATCCATTCGGTTGTATAAGCTGGGTCAATCCAGCTTCATAGTCTGTGAGCTTGGCTCTAAATCAGAAAGTTGATTGTTAAGTGTTTAGGTCAGCTTGATCTGCATGACAAGCAGTGGTTACTGATTTTATTGGATGCCAATTACTTATCCACCAATACTGCACGTCATGTACTTCGTAAATACTTTCCGGGAGCATTATGTGCTTGCTACTTTTGCTAGATAACTACGCAACAAATGACTTAATTCAATTGTTCATTATGTATAACAGCTGAGCTGATGTGTGGTTTCTGTATTACCTCAAACTGTGCGCTGAATTTTATGTCGGACTCAGAAGGAGTAGTGGCCTATGTGACATTTATTTTGTTAATGAAGATTTTTTATTGTTTTATTTTTTCAACTGCGATTCAATCTTGCATCGTCTCTAATGAAATTGTCTCTCTCACTTACTTACTATGGTAAAACATCTACTTATGCATGCCTCATGTTGTTTTCATCCTTTTCAGGATTGGTCATTCCTCTATCCATATGCCTCTTATCTTGGTATGACTAGTAATTATCAGATTCCTCATGAAGAAATTTCATCGTTTGCAAAATCTCTACCTCAAATGAAATGGTCATATGACCATCGTGTATCAAGTCAAAAGGCTGTCACATCTGAATGCTCAGATTCACATAATACAAATAATGCACTAATTATCAATACTACTAGCAACCCTTCTGTATCATCGAAATCGTGGTTAGTGTCTCCCAATCAGTTACCTCCTGCTTCATTACATCGAAATGCTACAAGTATAGATAATAAATCTTGTTCACCTCAACAGTTAAATGAATCTATAAATACGTATCCTGTTGTAGGATTTGTGAAATCAGCAGATTCTATGAATCAGAATGGTAATTTCAAAGAGGAGTTTGCAGAATGGTTAGCCAGTCTACGTGAGACAAGTGGACTTTTAGTGAACTTAATCCTATCGGACTCTATGCTGAATTTATTTAAAGATCATAATTTTGATTCTTGTAACATTTGTGAATGCACTTCATCTATACTTGGTTCTGAGATAGGATTGTATTTGTCCAATTCAACAACCGTGTCATCACCGTGCAGCAGGTCAGCAAGAACAAGCACTTCAGCCTTTGGTCACGATCTTGTTGGTGGATCTGGATTTCACTTTACACGAGGATGTAAATGTGGATTCAGCGCTGTAATGAATCAAAAATATGTTGTTAATGGCAATTTGTTTTATGAAGATGAGATTGAAGTCACTCGACTGTCCGTTCGTTTTGCTGCAGGACAGAACACTGAAAATCTATATTCTCGTAGACCGAACTACCGCAGACGTCCTGGTTGGTGGCTAACTGGTCCACAGCCATCAGTTAGCCACTTACTTTTACTACAGCAGATAATGAGCAACATATTTGAAGAGTTCAGTGTACGACAAGTAACCGATTTGCTAAGGTGGAATATGTTGTCACGTGATCAACTTATTATGGAAAATACACTAGAATACGATGGTAAGTTAAAAGTTGATTGACAATCTTTAAAATACCATGTGTACGTTAATCAAAGATTTTCTCATTTTAACTATTTCGTTTTATCAAAATTCTGGTATTTTTTCAAGTAAATGACCAATAGTTTTATCTGGCTTTTGTGTGTCAATGTTTTGTGGAAGCCTCTTAAGTTATCCTCACAACTGTAGAGATGTGGACCATCGGCTTAAGCACTCGGCTTCCAACCATTGTGTTCTAGTTTAGGTTTCCATCCAACCTACATCAGCCTAGACCACCGGTTAGTATAACCAGGTTACGCGCAATAAGTGCGCTTTACAGCCTGTTATTGGGTAGCTGAGTTGTAAGTAATCTCAAAACGACTTATAACTCTGAAGTAAATACAACTCAGTAGCTCTTTATTTGTGCATCAACAGGAATTGTTATTTGAAAACCTCAAAAGACAAAATTCTCAAATATGAATTATTTACATGTATGAAGTCCAGATATATATATGTTAAATGCACAGAATTGAACAGAAAGTTAACGCCAAATGTAATCTTAAACAAAATTATGCACTATGTATATTTTAATCAGTTAATTCTTTTGACTTCCAGTTAATAAGGTATGGCTTATAGCTTAGTACATGAATCCCTAAGAGAATATCAGGCTTTATTTTACATCGGTTATATTTTAAAATAATTGAGATCATAAGATATGGAGAGAGATGTATCCCAGTATTTTGGCTACTGAAAAGATGCTCAGAATCTAACTTTTACTATGCTCGACAAAGAAGTAATTGTGGGAATTTCAAACTTTTGGGGGTAAAGGCATCATTATAATTCCATCTACCGTATTGTTTTCATTTCGTATGATGGACAACTTGTACTACAGGCACTATATAGTAAGTAATTCTCCTCATTCCCATCGTATGCCAATTATGGCAACGGCTTTTCATGTGTATCTTGATTTAAAACAGGCTAATTAAACCCGCATTTTATCTGAGTCTTCTGGCGTCTTATTCATATGTTAGCCTGCCGTAATGATGAGATTTACAACTAATCTAACAGCTACCTATAGTACACTTCGCTAATAGTTACTAACTATTAGCATTATTACTGTCATCATTTTCATCATTATTTATTGTTATTACTGTAATTCTTATAGACGCCTGCGCTCTGATATCATCGGCTCTACGCCATTCTGCTGAAACAATAAATTCAGTTAGTAATCTGGAGTTCAGTGCAACGGGTGCATCACAGTCGCCTATAGAAAATGGTGCATATGTCCATCCATCTTTTTTCCTAAAAGCCCGTTCTAAAATGCCGCAGAATCAAAATGATCAAATCCGTTTGCTAACAGTAAGATATCTATACGCTTAATTGTTTTTAAGGTTGACCAGTCTGTTCTTTCTTTGTCATCATTTTTATCTCGTACTCATGCATTCATATATATTAAGATTTTGCTTTTAATTACTGGTAAAATATTTGGAGACTACGTGTAGAATGCTTACTGTAATAAGTTATGCTGTCTCAACATTTTAAAACTACGTATGTTTTCACTGTAAAGCTTGTCATCGTCTCACGAATACAAGTTGTTATTTGGAAAGTAAGGTTCACTTAGATAGTTGCTAGGTTTCTGGAACATAAGTATTAAATTGTCAGTAAAGTCAAGGTCAGTCTGGAAAGTGCAAATGCCTTCAAATAATAAAAAAGACTTCTAACTCTGTATGTAAATGTAAATTGTTTTGATGTCCACCCTTATTTGGTATTATATAGTGAATATTTCGTCATCATGTCTAGTGACGCCTTCAGCAGTTGACCGTTTTCTACGAAAAACATTGTTGTGATAAGAAATTTCAAGTTTCGGAAAAATATGTGACATGTACAGTATGCATGACAAACTTAATGTACAGTATGCACATTTATTCATCACTTACTGAACACCAAAGTGATGTTTTCATAAAGAAGGTCTTTTAATAACTAATTTATTCTCATCTGTTACCTATTGATTTCTTAATCACTTGTCTAACAGGCAGATAAAAACTGAAATGAAACTTTGTGCAAAGGTATTTCACAGTTTCAAGTTTTGCCTTTCTTAATAACTGGGAACAAAGTATATAAAAGCAAAATTGATATTGAAATAAAAAAAAACAGTTGTAAGAGAAATGAGAATATTGAGAACTTTGAAAGCTGTAGACAGTAGAAGCGTCTTGATCACTGGTAGACTAAGGTATTTAATAATTCCCATTGTAGCATTAAGGACACAACATTCAGCGAAGAGACTTTTCGACGAATTTATTATCAAGCTGTAAAATCGAATATATATATAATATATATTATATATATATATATATAAACATAAAATAATAATAGTATGAAATGCAATTCAAATATTTGTGATTATAATCATAGTTAAATGTCAAGTAGCAGAACAATTAATGTCATATGTAGAATAATACATAAGGTGTATAGATGTTGGAAAGGAGTGCATAATTATGAGATTAGTAGGCGAATATAAAATGTTACATAACATGGTGTGAAATTTGTTAAGATAGAATTCAACATTGTAAAAATAATGATTTTGGATTTAGAATGACAAGTGGGACAAGCGGAAACAATTCAGAGTGAGAATAGTAATAGTAATAATAATAATCGTAGTAATAAGGGAAAGGTACATAGAATAACAGTAAAAAATTACATAAAATAAATAAATGTCTATCTCTCTACGGCCGAGACAGAAGTAGGGAGTGTACATACTTCTTTTGTACACTAAGGTATGGCTTCAAGTCATGAATTGCCAAGGCCTCCACTGTCTTTAGAAGTCTGTAACGAAGAAACGGTGGCAAGTTAGCATAGATTCAGTAGATGATCTTAAAATCATGGTCAGGGTTGGCAGAGTGACAGGAGTCGATTAGGTGTTCTAGAATGCAGCTTCACACACTCTTCCTTTCTCCCTTGTAAAACCATTCTGGAATATGTTCTCGTATCCGTGTGGAAAGCGTCCTCTGGCTACGGCCAATGTACCTTGCTCGACAAGAGCAGGTGAACTGATAGATGCACATGTAGGCGGCCAGGCGGGGGAGCTTATCTTTTACAGAGATGAAAAACAACTTGCGGCTGGTGAACGTCATTTAGACATGTCACGTGGGATGTGTCCAGTCTCCGATTTTCGACATATATAGATTTCAAGTAATAAAACTACACTTTACAGGATAGTTGAAACTCAGATAATTCTATCAGTATTTTTATACTTTTATTGATACGAGTTGTTAGCCAGTAGTGCTTACTAAATTAGCTGTCTGAACTGAATCAGTCTAGGTACACCTGTAATCAGTTAGGTCCTATATGCATGCGAAACAGCTGCTCAGTGTTTGTGTCACCTTAATCGTTGGTAAGTACTACTGGTGGCTTTAGTGGTTTCTACCTAATTATGTCAATCAGTAGTAAATACTATCTTAAAATTTTGCTTTCTTTCTTAACGACATTGATGGTGTCAGGCAAGACACATTTTGTGACATCAGTCAGTATGTTAGCTTTCTATGAGCGAATGTGGTGGTGGAATTTCATCCGGAATTGTGTAATTTACAAATGACAAGTTTCATTCGGAATCTGCCTAACAATTTCTCGGTTTTGCGATTACTTCTTTGAGTGAATTGACTGATTATTTTCTATAGTTATAATAGAGCTGTTCAGTTTATAATTCTTAACCATTCACTAAGTTTTCACATCATTTCACATGTGTTTTGGTTACCGATGCACATGATCTGTGTGAATATCACGCGGTTTTTGGACTAGCAAATTCTTAGTTTGACCTAAACTGTTTCGTGTTGTTGAAAGATGAAATAGTTGTTGGCAAAATATATTTCGTGTGCATCCATTACTTTACTATTAAAATGTGTCAAATCTCTTTGGGTTGTTTTTTTTTTCAAATGGGCAAGCTGTTATACATGGTTCTCTACCTCCATTAATGTCTTGTTTTTTCATCTGACCAAAATAAAGCACAGGTTATTTTTTATATGTTTCCAAATATATCTTCCCTTATCTTATATATTTACTTTCTATGTAGACTATGCGTCCATGGCTTCAAGAAGCGATTTCGTCTACTAGAATGCTGGAATCTAATTACACTGTTGATGGACCGCTCACTTGGAAAGCGTTTCATCAACTTGCTGGTCGTGGTTCAGATGAAACTTGTAAACCTCAACCAATTCCTCAACTGCGTGTGTGTGGATGTGACCAAGATAATTTGTTAATTTCCCCCTTCGCTGTTCGTGATTGGGTAATGTTTGTTTCGCTATCACTCCTTGTTATAATTATCGTTACCATTAATAGCTTGATTATGATTATATGCATTGTGAAATTCTCAGCGTGTGTTGTTGCAAAATATGTACTTATACAGAATCTCCAAGTACAAGTAGTAATCGATAGAATGTCATTTAATGCCATATATATATATATTTTTTTCATTTCCTCCAAAAAATGCATAGCATAGTACATGTCGCGATTTAAAGACGTAGTTGAACGATTGAAGAAACATGAAACTGAGACATAGTACCCTTATGCTTGGTGGAAAACTGGTAGCCCAGAGACTTAGACAAGCCGTATAATGAAAGGACTTCTGTCTTTATATTTTGATTTGTCCCATTCTCATGTATAGACTATTAAGTTTCTGAGATTCGTTTCAATCAACTCAACAGCCACTTGCATGTCCATATGGCAGGCATTGAGCCGCACGTATTGTGCTTGCTCAAACTTCTCTAGGTTGAACGGGTTCCGAGCCTGTGAACCCACTGGTTGGAAATCGAGTCCCCCAGACTATTGAGTCACGGCCCCGTAGAACCTTGTGATGCAGCTTGTATAACACATTCACACGTTATTTCGGGCAATTGTTGATTGATTATGATGTAGCGTTTCTTATTTCATTCTTGGCAACAGTCTGTCACTCAGTGAGTGTGCTTTTACGATGTGATTTGTGTATTGCTATTTGTGACAGCATTATTGTCTTCATCAGCTGTTACTGTTTGATTTTCTAAACATTCCTAAACATTTATGTTCTTTCTTACACTTTCCCCTTATAGGATCGACTCTCACTATTTCCACTATCGCGAGCGAAGCGGATAGCGTACGCTGTGGTCTTGCCTACCGATTCCCATGCATTAGTTAATCCAACCTCTAATATTCAAAACAATGTGATCTCCGAGGGCACTGGATCCAGTTCAGCCTCAAATTTAATGAGACGTTCTCTTGCTGAATTTCTGAAAGAATTATCCCATACGTACGAATCTTGTCATCTTGGTCAGCATTTCCCATATTATATGCCGGAAGCAGGCTCTCCTGAAACGGCTTTCATACCAGTCTTTCCAACCCCAGGTAAGCGTCTAGAAAGTAATTGTTCACTGTTATCTCGCTAGCTGGTCCTAAATTGCTGCCTTTTGTGCTCCTTATTTTCGGCATACGTATCGGCTGTTTCTAATGTGTCTGCTTTACCGCATATCACTTCAGCTCATCTAGTTTGTGAAGACGTTGGCTGCAGCACTTGGTTATCAGCCAACTGGGTCATGTACTCGAATCCCGCTTCACATCATCTTGAGCGGCCAGATATCAATATTAGTGCTTAGGCAATAATTATGGCTTATAGATTTGTACGTGAAAATATGTTTTGAGTAGCTTGTACTAGGCAGAAACAGAAGAAGCGGTGATGTATATATTCATTGAAAATGATGACAGAGAGGACAATAATAATAATAAGACTTATATGGAAAAAAGTATAGCGTTTTATAATATTGTGTAATAAACAATTTGAAAATTTAACTCTCTGTTACGGTTATGCTCAACATTGAGCAATAATATGAGCATCATTTGCTAAGGTGAATTTAGTTGCCTTGCGTTTTGATATATCCCTCAGTTATATGTAGTATATCGAAGATAACATTGTCGTAACTTTGAATACCAAAGATATTCTTTTTAAAGTTATCCTTGTGATGGTATACTGGTTTAGTCTTTGCATATATTGGTCCAGTAACACATGAAGCTACAGGAAATGATATACTGAAACACTGTTCTAGATTAGAAATCCAAAATTACTTCCTTTGGTATTTTTAATTTTTTATGGATTTGATTGCATTCGACACAGTTTATATTTTAAGAAAATAATATTTCCATATTTCTTTTGTAGAATGTCTTTCATTATCAGAAAATGATGGCTTCAAAAGCCTTCCTCCAGATCTCCTGAAAACACTCTCAGAGCAACTAGGGAATTATTCGATTAGTGCAGAATCAATTGTAAAAACTATTCATAATTATGCCTCCAATTGTGTACAGTCTACCTTGGCTGCATTGAAAAAACATGGTGTTGCTGTGGGTTTTTCGTCTAATCTTTCTCAGCATTCTGTGTTATTTCCACCTTTTGATACAATAAAATCTGACATTTCTACAAAATCAAATCTGGATAATGATGGTGATGATAATGATGTCAAAGTTAACATTACCAATCGACACAATATCTCATTAAATAGAACGGATAACAATTTTTCAATACGTTACAATAATGGTCAAGGTTCTCTCACCACCTCATTAGATACATCCTCTTGGGGGGCTGATAATGATATCTATCTAGTAATTTATATCCTGAATCCTTTCTGCTATGTAAGCAACCTCCCTTTCTTTTATGTAAATATTCATACTGTAAAGATTATATTTTAAGCATTTTTTAAATGTCATATTCCCTCTTTGGTATGTAAAATAACAGAATATTGAATGCATGGTAATTATTTCCTGGGGTCATTAGGACAATTATCAGCTATTCTCTACAATTTTATACTTAAGATTGAAACCCAAAATTGTTGGTATGTGAGGGTCAATCAAGTCATTGCTAAAAGATGTTTTGAGGACTTTGGACTCAAGGTTGCTACTTCAGAAGTCTGTCACCTAAGTCGATACCCCACGGGGTAAATTTCCAAAAGTAATCTTTACCGTAAATACAGTCATAGTTGAAAGTTAGATGTCATAATTTTATAGTATCTGTCGATAGTGAATAAAACTAAGTTTCCTAAGCTCTATCTCTCCCTTTCATTTGATGTATACTTGCGTATCAGTAATGATTTTAGTCTTTCATTTAGGCAAATTATTCTTCCATTCCTTGTGTTCCAGGTCGAATATAGGATTCGAAGCTTTTGAAGTTCTGCTAGCGGTGGTGTTGTAGTTTTTACGCCTAACCCTTCCACTTTGCAGGGCTCGCTATCGACTAGCAAACTAAACATGGTTGCGCAGTATACTAGCTGGGAATTGAACTCAGACCTCCCATTTAGTTGGTGACACAAATTGTTAATAATGTGATTTTTTTCATGGATGTAATACTATGTGAAATGGACTCTGTGCTAAAGACAACATGAAGAGCAATGAAACGAACAAATTGTCGCACTTCATGCTTAAGTCCGGTTTGTAACACGAATTCCTCCTATTATAGGGACATTGAACAATCAGAACATATTCGGTTGTATTGATTCATTTGTTGTTGCACATGTAATTGATTTAGATTGGCAGAGTTGACTTCCTGCTTCAGATGATTGAATTAGTTTATTGTAGGCTTTTGTGTTATGGTCTCTCTTCCTTTTTGGATTGTATGGGAAACTAAGTAATTCTTCAGGATTTTCTGAAGCATTGTAGATGGTTGCAAAATAAGTCTGTGTTGCTATTCATTCATAGATATGTGCTTGTGTCGCATAACGATTCTGTACCATCTGTATTCTTTAGCCAACCAATGATTTGTATTTAATGCTAGCTTTTGCCTCTTTTTTTAATGACAAAATCTCACTTTAGCTATGTGATGTAAGCGCAGAGCTTAGTCGACTTGTCATGCAAGCACTAATTGGTTGCGCTAATCAAATACTGAATTCACTGCCTGACTCTTGGCGTTCACGTGTCACCACCCAACTGTTATCTCTTGATCATGTAATGTCGGATTATTTGCCTCGTTTACGACCGATGGCTTTATCGCTTTACACATCTGTCAATCGTCTCATTGAGCCAAGTCTAATCAATGCCAATCGTACATTGACTGGTTTAGGTCCAGCTGCTGAAAAAGAAACTATTTCAAGTGATAAAGATGTAAGTGTTAACTAGTTCCATATATTGCTTTTCTTCAATTCAACAGGAGTTTATTATGCCTAAGCTTTGATTTCCTTTGTTCATTAAGTCGGCGTTGTTTATAGACTTCTTTTGAAGTTCAGGATAAAATAGGAAATTTAATACATTGGATTAGTTTTTTACGGTTTTCTTGTGTAATACTTATTTTATGGAATAATTATTTGTAAGAGGAAAATATATAATTGAATTTAACAATTAAAAGATGTCGGGTTTTTATGTTGCCTATATTTCAAAATAAAACAGTTATCACTATTATTATCATTACAATTATTAAGGCTTGCATCGACTGATAGTATTAGCCTCTGATAGAAACCAGTCGTCTATAACTATCGCGTAAATCAATGCGGCTTAATAAGATTAAGAATTTCTTCGATAATAATAATAATATCCTTTATCTAGGTTGAAATTAGTTAGTTGGTTTATTAGGTGAATCTTGTCGATTAAGTAAACGAAAAACTCGGATTCATGAGCAGCTTCATTTTTTTCTATTGTTTCAGTAATCTATCACTTTCTCCACTTTTCTTCTTTTTAAGCCAATTACGATAGCCTTACACATATTTTCTGTTATTTCACGTGCCTAGGTAATACGCCACTAGACCTATTATATGTATGTATAATGTCGCTCATTCATGTTCAAATTTACTTCATATTTGTAAATAAGCTGCTTTAATTACACCTAAAAGACAACACACAAAGGCTTATCACATCGTTGTTAAGTTTTCGCCCCTTTCATTACGTAATTCGATTTATGCTTTGGTACGTTTTTGTTTTAAAGACATCTTCCAGGGTGTATGTCTCCTATTACTGTTAGAATAAGTATTTATTCTACGACTGAACATTAGGTTTGCTTTTATATGCATGTTCCAGCCCGCTAATTATCTGTTTCGCGTATTTTTTAACGCCATGGTCTAGGTTTATTTTTTTCTTACCTCATTTGTTAAAGACTGGTTGCTTATTAGTTAGTTGAATTAACGCTTGACTTATCAGTGTTCCAATTCTTGGACAAGGTCACACATGGCTTACACATTCATTATCTCTATTGTCTACGTCATTTTTCTGTTTTGTCGAGACAGAGTAAAAGCTGTCCATCATTATTATTACTGTCATTCGTTTCAGTAATTGTGCTGTTCGTCGTCGCGTCGAAATTTCGGGTAACAGATCACTGAAGCATACGGATTAAATGATTAATGATCAACAAAAATAAATTGCGATTATAATTACTCTCCTGCTATCCAATAAGGCTTATTCTTTCCCTTCTGAAGAATGTATTTCAGCGGTGATTTCAATAACGGTTGACATGCAAAGCGTCATTATACTGCTGTATATACCTCAAGAGTGATCACGAACTGACTTCAGTTAGAATATTATGGAGTATCGGATGGCTGTTTCATCCTCGTTCGGAACTTTTTGGTTGTGTGCACTCATGACTCTACCAGGAATCGAACGCAGGACCTTCAGGCCACAAGGCGAGCACGTTAACTAGTGGAATGGAATTCTTATTTCTACTAATTCCCGATTTGTATATGCACACCCGATCTTACCGTTTCTATACAGAGCTCTATGAATGCTTTTAATGTGCATCTAATTGTTTCATACCGAGCCTACTTATACCTTATTTCCTACCGTATATACAATGTTTTTGTTTGAACTTTTGACAAATACGTGTTATAAAAATGTCGGTTTACTTTTAATTTTTTTTAGAATTTCCATAAGCGAACAGTTTTCGCTCCGCCGTATACACTCATAAGTTCACGTGATTTATCTGGCCATTTGGACTTGTCTACAGAACCACTTGACCGGTCATCTGTTTTATTTGTGGCCTACTGTCTTTCTCAGGATCAACAATGGCTTCTTGCTACATTTACAGATGAACAAGGTGGTCTTTTAGACCATACTCTAATCAATATTCGTGTCCCAGCAAAGTATTTTTCTGAAAATGAAAGTCAACGTTTACAGTCGACAGGATCAGAAAAGTGCATGTTAAGCCCTCGTCGCATTGGGCTTGCTCGACTCTGGGATTATATAATCAATTTAGTCGGTCAAACTGCTAATCCTTGGAGACTTGTTGTAGGAAGAATTGGTAGATTGGGACACGGTGAATTGAAAGGTAAGTAAGATGGGTCGAATTTTTGTGTGTAATTTTTTGATCACTTTCAATGTAGATTCCGTCACAAACCAACATATAGAAAACCATTGAAGACCAGGGAGCCCTGGAAAGCGGTGCACACCCATGACCTCATCAGGAATAGAAGCTGTGACCTGTTGGTTACAAGGCTAAGCTCTTCGGTCTAACTAAGACGAAACAACTGTCCAGTGCTCCCTGGATTTCAGTGATGCTGGTTCTTGACAAAATCTACACTGTGGTAATCTAAAGGTTTTCAATAAAACCAACTATTTAAATAGATTATCTTCGTTGTTGTATGTGCATTTGGAGCGTGTAGCTTTAAAAGTACACCAACTGCGAGGTGGAATACCATTAGTGCAGCTGTCAAAATATGAATTTCCAGTGTATGTTACCTAGTAGTTCAGTTGATTTATTTCAAGTTTGATCGCGAACTGAATTCAGTCAGATGCTTCGTCCTTGTTCGGGTCTCTTCGGCAGTACGCACCCATGACTTCACCAGGAATCGAAAGCATGACCTTCAAGTTACAAGGAGAGCACATTGACCATTGAGCCTCTGGGTCGGAATCCAATGGCCCATTAATTCTAACTCCTGACAATTCTTTGATTCAATTCACTAGTTACGAAAGCTCATACATTCTTCACTAAATTCATGTTACTGTACTTATTATGATAGATAATTTACACTTCATTAACTAATCATCAAAATGTTTAGTTACTGTACCTTTCACTATCCCTTATTCGAACAATAGTTTATCAGTCGATTTTAAATTAGTCCTCATTGCAAATCCTCCTTCATTTTCTATAAGATTCATATAATCCTTAATTGACACTCGAACATGAATAATAACTCCAAATTTCACGTTATTAATAATTCGAGTGATAGTTTTTTAAACTTTGTATTGTTTATCGTATATTGTACTGGTCATCTGGATGCACTTTTTTATACTTAATTTCTTTGCGTCCCGAGTGCAACATAGGACTTCTAGTTTGAGCTTTTAAGTTACAGTAGTGGTGGCGTGTTGTTTTTACGGGATGGGATTATTAGCCCCACATCCAAAATCACCTCTTTACTGAGATATTTCTAGATTAAGGAGTGCACGGGTCGGGGATGGAAGCCCGGACCATACGCGTTGTTGGCGAGTATTTCACTACTGAATCATCGACGCACCCTGCTTGTATTTTGGGTTATCAAAAACATTATGCTTCGATTTACTCTTTTTTGCCCTCAAATAGTATTATTTTCACTCCCACATTTCCTCACGTATCACTTTTCATGCTCCCCATAAATCTGATAGAAAATGTGTTATAAAAATAGTAATCACCAAACTGTCCCTGAATTACTTGGCATGCAGGTGTATATTTCATGGTTGTTTCTTTTGATTTTACTTGTGAAAGTAGTAATTATGTTGCAATATGAAAAATGCTGATAATTCCCTTAAGTGTTTAATCGTTGTTTGGAATATAACTGTTACTGTCATTATTCTTAAAAGAAGTGTATTATTACATTTTAACTTATAAAAGTCCTGATACAAACGAAATAATGGAAAAAAGTGTTATCACTAATTGACGTCATAATGGGTGTCTGATTGTGTTTTGTGTTGATGTGGTTCTTGAATTTAGTGCATATTTGTTCAAGTTCCTAATACGTCACATCCGCACTTTGAGGAAAGAGGTAGAAAAGGGAAGGCGATATAAGTTTGTAGTAAACCACAACACACAGAAAGAGGTAATCTTTTATAAGTCGATTCTGATCTTCATTGTTTTAGTAACTTGAATCGTCTGTTTTGTTTTCGTCTCATATATCGTTATAGAATATCAAATAATTGTTTATGAATGGTCTTTTTAAAATATTTTTCACATGTTATCGATACCCTGAAATAACGTACTACTGAATTCTTAGAATAAGTCACATAAAGGGACACTCCTGAGTTTAGAGGGTTCCTTTTTATTCTTTTTTTCAATGTCCAGTTGCCTTTTTCAGTTGTATAAATAAATTAATGATACCTCGTAAGAAATTGTCTTCTTGCCAGCATTATTCATACCTTTTATAACTTGTAATTAATTTGTTAATTACAATTTTTTTATAGGTTGGAATGGATTATTAGGTCGTAAAAGCCTTCAAGATGTGAATAAGTTTTTTCGAGATCGTTGTTCTGCTTGTAGTATATCGTCTTCTATCCCATCACACTCAACTAGTAATTCATCAATGATTAATAGTACAAAGCCAATGCTGAATCTGATTAATAGTCACAGTGGTGCAAATAGTTGTACTCATGAACTTCCAAGTTTGATAAGTGCTTGTCTTGTATCCCTTGAACCTCAAAGTACATTTCGCGTATATCCTGGTTTTGGTTTATGCTCAGATGAACCATGGGCATATGGAGGAGGTGGAGGTGGGGGTGGCGCAGGCGGTATGGGATCAGGGAGTACTGGTATTTCTGGTGGAAGTGGAGGCCTTAACAATGGTGGCAATAACGCGTTTTACGGAGGTAGTGCTTCTTCTCTTAATATAAGAATGATGTCTATGCTGGACACTCCAACATCTTCTATAGACAATCCAAGTGCAACGCATATATTGGTCTTCCCTACAAGTACTTCAGCGAGTGGTGTATCTGTAAGTTGTCGCATTTATATTGCACATATTCATATAAATCTCATTTCAAATTTCGCAACCTGAGTTCTGTGTACGTTCCTGGTATAGTCTTAGTTTAGTTGTGTACGGAAGCAGGACATCTGTGAATGAATACTATTTGATAAATCTAATGGTTCCTTCAACAATAATTAGTGATCCATTCTGGCTCTATGTGTTTACTTTCAACGGTTATATCACTTCACTAGCCTTTATGTTGTGTTTTTCATACTCACAGCTGTTGGAAATACACAGTTGTAGGTCATCCCACAAATTTTTATCAAAAACTGACTGTGACCACAACTTTTTCATCCAAAAAGTTTACGATGTATTCATGCAAACCAGTTGGGGAAAAATAAATTGACATTATTTAGCATGTTGCTAGGCTATGCTATTACAGGTAATGTGGGATTCGCATATGTGTATCATATTTTCCACTCACTGCTGTTCATTCATATTTTGTCAACATAATCTTGTCTTGCTTATTTTTCCAGGAGCATGAACCTTCAGGATTAGCAGAAGTAATTTACGGTATGGGATCTGATGATATGGGTGTTTTTGATTGGCTTCTTCCTCACGATTCCGGTCTTGATGATCTCGTTCCACCAAATGGGTCAACAGCTGAAATGTTAGCTGATTTCGGTAATCCGTCCGAGTTGAATTTTGGTCTGCCAGATTTGGGACCACCAGTTTGTATGAATGGTGTCGGTGATGGTATTGGAAAGTCTTCTAGCGCAAGATTAGGGGATGCTTCTGACGGTTTACATGGACATAATGATTATGTTAATAGTCTCCATGATGGTCGAGGGCATGGTCGCATGTCAGATATTATGGGTTTGCGTGGATTTGAGTCCGGGTTACTGGATATGGAGGGAAATCAATCCAATGGTATGGGCGGTCACATGGATGAACTTTCTTTCGGGCATGCAATGGATCCTCTGAACACAATGCCTTTCGGTATACATGACCCCACGGTAAATGTTTCGTATTATCAAAGGTTTTATTATTAAATATTAAAATAATTAATAAATGCTTAGTGTCTGTAATTGACATACTTGAAAGTGTGTTGTATAATTCTTTGTGTTTAATTGTGGAAAGGTTTTACCACAAATAACCTGTTTAAGGTCAAAGTTATTCGATGATTATTTTTGTGAGCACTGGTTGGGTCTCACAGAAACCATATTGGCGACGATCAGTAGAGGACTGCCGCTCCTTCTGGAACACGTGCTTAGACTTCAATCACTCCCTAGTTCACTCATGTTTATGCTTACGATTAAATGGACATAAAAAACTATTGTCAGCCAGGTAGTTATATCCCCAACTAGGTGAAGATTCAGTCCCTATTTAAGCAAGAAATAGCGAAGCGAGTATCTGAGGTTGACAGCAAGACTCTTTCTGAGAAAGCATGGCACAACATACAGGTAGCTGTAGACACAGCTGTAAAAGCTCTTAGTAACCTGAAACCTAAAGTTATCAAGAGCCAGTTGATTTCTACCATCTCATCTGAACTGATTGACGCAAGAAGACTGATACTGACGAGCTCCGGTTATGATGAGGAGCGAAAGCTACTCAAACGAAAACTAACAAGAAGTCTTCACAACGACCGTGAACAGTGGTGGGCGGCAAAAGCGAAAGAGATGGAAAAGGCATCGGCGATTGGCAACACCAGGCAACTATTTAGGCTTAACGGGGAAACTGGTGGTTAAAGGCAAATGATAAGTGAAACAGCTTCTCAGAAAAATGGCCCCATAATTATCTCCCAGGATAGACGACTAGAACGTTGGAAAGAACCCACCTTGCTGAATGGGATATAGACACAGGTCCTCCGTTCCTAACTGAGGTTACTAGGGCTGTCACTAGTCTGAAACGAGGCCAGGCAGCAAAGTGGGACTCGATGGAATAACTTCAGAGATGTTTAAGGACGGTGGAGACAGTTTACTGTCTACGTTAACTAAGGTATTAGGCAGCATCTCGGAATCCGAGATAGTCCCGTAGGGTTGGTGTAAGTCACTGATTATCTCAGTATACAAGAAGGGAGATAAGTCTCCTTGTGTTAATCGCAGAGGGATCAGCTGGACTAATGTGGTATCTAAAGTCCTAGGCTCAATAATAATGCGTAGACTAAGTGGTGCTCGGGAGGCACAAACACGTGGGAACTAGGGAGGCTTTAGATCAGGAAGAGGGTGTATTGATCATATTTTCACCCTTCGACAGATTCTGGAACATAGGCAAACTCATCATCGGCGTCCAAGAATCGTTGTATTTCTTGACCTAAAGGCGGCATTGGATTCTGTCGACCGAGAAGTTCTCTGGCGATGCTTGACTGTGAAGGGAATGCCGAGAGAATACATTGCACTGATCAAGGCACTCTACTCGAACTCATGCAGTGAGCCAGGTGAGGGCTTACGGAGAGTTGTCATCTGAAACGGTAACAAATAGCGGTGTCCATCAGGGATCCCTACTGTCCCCATTTCTATTCAATTTCATCATAGATGTACTAATGGAATTAACCCTTACTGCTGACTTCATCAACTCAGGGATTGACTTGTTACCAGGAAATAATCTCGTTGACTTAGAATATGCATGCTGACATTGACAAGATGCATAGTCTTCTGAACACCTTGAGCTGCAATCTTTGGATGTTTGGCATGCCATTAGCTCCTGTCAAATGTAAGATGATGCTTCAGAGCTGGACTGGACTACATTGACTCCTACCTTAAAAAAAGGCAGGAGTGAAGTTTTAGAGAGTGTTGACCACCTCACTTATTTGGGAAGTTCAATCAGCCAACGCCAGTAGGTTGATCACTGACGAAATCTCAGCGTGGGTACAGAAGGCTCGTTTCTCATATGTCACTTTACGCCATGTCTGGCGTAAACATGATATCCAGCTATCAACCAAAAGGTTTGCGTACTACTCAGCAGTCCGCTCCCTCCTCCTTCATAACTGGCTGTTAGCGAGACATGGCCATGGAAAGTGGAAGACATGAAAAGGCCAGCTATCTGTCTTTGATCATAGGTGTCTGTGTTCTATCTCCCGTGTGAAGTGGTATAATAGGGTGAGCAATATCGAGGTTAGGTGTCAAGTGCTAGGTAAGGAGGGGAAATCAATAGATGAGGATGTGAAGTTACATAGATTGAGATGGTCAGTACATGCGTCACGCATGCATGCCTAGCCATCGATTGTCTTCCTCGACACCGGGCAATGTTAACTGACTGACATAGGATGGATCAGGTTGGAAAAGAGCCAGTGTTGGTCAAACCAGAACATGGCTTCATCAGTCAATGAAATCCACAACAGTTAGTTTAAGTCAGCCATTCACGCAGGAAGGTGTAGACTTCCTGACTGTTTAGGGTCCTCCGGACGGTAAAAACCAATGACTGGAGACAACTGGTGATATGGTTCAAAATCGTTCTCGGTGGCGCAGATGTAACCACTCCATATGACTTATTAAATTCAGTAAAGCTATTTTGCTCTTCGATATTACTATTTCTTCTACCTCATATCTCTGCTTATTATCTCTGTTTTGAATCTCTTTTTACTTTCTTCTGCTTTGTGTGCTACATGGAGTGTGGCGACTCGAACTGCTGCACATCGGTTCTATGATGAAACCAGTCAGTCAGTCATAAAGGCTACATGAAATGGTGCCACGTTTTTGTATACCTACCTCTAACTCTTCCCTACTCCAGTCTTCATAGGAGACTGTACATCAAGAAATACGGTGACTCAGTATGCCCAACACATGTCCTAGTCATCTCAGTCGGTGCAACTTGACAACCTCATCGAATGGCTAACACTAGTCCTAGTTTCTTTTTTACTCATCATATTGCACTGGACACTAGAGTTTTAATAAATATAAATTTAAAGAATTCTGTTATAATTAATAATACTGACACTATTCGAGAAGTTTGATTGTAGGTGGTCATCGAAATTCCGATTGTCTCAATCAAACATGCTTGGCTTCTTGTTTTTCGTTCTCCATGTTTTGTTTATTTCCTCTTCTTTTGTAGTATTATTAGTTACAGCAGTGTAAACTGTCACACTTTATGTGCAATATTCTATGGTTATTTGTGTGTTGATCATTTTGTTTATTTTACAAAGATTTGATTAAATCCATTCCTTTTTGTTCTTTTGTTTGAATTTAACAGGACGAAGTGGCTAGTTTAATGCAGCAACCGTTAGCTATGGGTTATTACATATCTACAGCTTCTGCCGGCCCATTGCCTTCATGGTTTTGGGCCGCCTGTCCACATTCAAGATTTCAATATCCAGTATGCTTAAAGTCAGCGTTGCATTTACAAACGACACTTGTTGGCGTTGATGATGCTGCCGCCGCTGCAGCAGCTCCTCCACCAAGTGCTAGTTCAACTGGTCCAGGCGTCGTAGGACCCTCATCAAGCCGTCCCGGCCATCTTCTTGACTCACACAGTACATGTGATGTATTAAGATATGTTTTGGAAACATATAATGCTTTATCATGGTTAACTATTGACCCGACAACAAACGATCGTCGAACATGCCTACCTGTTCACATACTTTCCCTATCACAAATGTATCAGGCCTTTGAAGCATTCACCTAAATTGATTTGATGATCGGTCATATCTTTGTAACTTACTTGTAGATAGCATGAAAAACAGATATTTTTTATGGCAGCTTGTAAAATGCCAATAAATCTTTCAAGAAAATTTTAATTTCTTAATTGCAATGTATTTCTTTTCTCCTTTCCTTTTTTCTTTTCGTTTATTTTTCTTTTCTCATTTCTTGCCAGTTGTAAATTTATTGTTTGTTTAATTTTGTGTCACCAGGGTAAATACAACTTCATTCACACACACACACACTCTACTAGTAACAACAATCTTAAATAAATGATGTTTATATAAAAGTATTTTTCTCAATAATTTCATTAATTCCAATAGATGTTAAATGCTCTTTTTCACTTAACCTATGTGATTTTTTGTACAGACTAGTATATGTTTCTTTTCTCCTGGACAATCCCTTTGCACTTATAAATATAGTAAAACTATTGTAAAACAGAAACGTTAGGATATTTCGTTTTGTGCTTTATTTTCTTCGTTGTTTTATTTCCTGCCATTCCCTCCCATCCATCTGTGTCGCTTCTCAGTGCAGAGGACTTTTCTCTTTTCCTTAGACCAACTGACGTGTTGGCTGTGCATGAAGGAAACGAAAGTACTCCCACCCTGTTGTAATTCATTATTTGCTTGGTGTGGTCTTTATTTCTATGCATTCTTGTATCTGCATTTCATACATTGTCATAGTAGATAATACAAATAATTGATGATATCATCTTTTTCTACGCTTTTACTGAATTTTTTCTATGCTTCTAGCATTGGTTTGTTCGTATGAGTGTACACAATTGTGTTTCAACCGTGTGTGCGTGCATTCCACAAGTTGTTAACCTGCTGGTATTCGTTGTTACTGTTGTTGTTCTGCAGTCGTTTGTTTTTTTGACTTTTCACTCTGGGATGTTTTCTCTTTTAGCCATTTTCCTTTACATAATTTACAATATTTTTTATTAGTTAAGATTTCTAGTATTTATTGTTTGTCTGTGTAGTGTGAGACTGTTGTTGTTGTTTTTTGTCTATTGGATGGTTGTTACTCTTTGTTTAACGAATTACTGATTGTCTTTGATTTAGTCATTTAACTAAGATTTCGCACAAGTAGGAATTGTGTAACTTATTCAAACTTATTAAACTAGAAGATTTCTGGGTAGTTGTATATTTCTGTGCCTTGGTTACTATACATTTATTTTGAATTGTCCTTTTAATCGTGATATATGCATATATAAATATATATATTCTATGCGCATGGTGTGTTTCTACAGTTCTCTCGCGCTCTCTCTCTCTCTCACACACACACACTCTTTCTCTCTGTTCCTCTCTCCTCTCTGTCGATGTTTTCTTCACTTTATAAACATTTCCTCTTTTTTCAACACTGTAAAGTTGGCGATAAGATTGTCTGTCTACAATGACCCTTATGCTCATTTTTGTGTCCCACTCACTCATTTATCATTAATTCATGCATCCATTCACTTACTGCATTGTCGATGTATGTTAATTGAGCATATACATATATCTTTCTTTCTTTGCATAGTAAGAACTAATTTTCCAAGTAATAGTAATTCCACTATGATGATGATTATTGTACCATATGTATTTGTTTTTTTGGGTTTTTAAATGAAAAAAGAAAATATATTTATTATTGTATGAGAAAGTGTTATCATTATTATTGTTTTATTGTTGCTTGTTTCTAAGGTAGATATAATTTACACTTGTGTGTTTGTAGTTCCTCAGATCTCTTTAGTTAATTGTAGTAGAGTTAGGTAGACATACATCAGTGGTTCCACTATTGGAATTCTCTGCAATCGCCCACGTTGTTCGGTTTCAGTTCCCGGCCGACGCATTCCTAAACCATGCTTAGCCGGTTGTAAACCTGGATAACAGGGAAAGTTAGGAACCCCAACCCACTAAAAGAAATCAGGTCACTGCTACTTAAATTTCAAAGCAAAAGAATGATTTGGCAGACGTGTTATTAGCCCTGGGTTGTAGTGTACAGTAGGTTATGACAGGTGTATACACATAAGTTCGATGTTTTGTGTTTGTTTTGAGTTTATATAAGAATAATGGTTAAGTAGAATCCCATATTATCACATTAAGATGTTAGTATGACTTTGCAATCATACGGGTTTTTATGTTCGTATTTCTATTCCTTTCGGTCACCCACTCTGTCATTCAATGGTACTTGAGAAGTAAAATGTTTGGTTGCTGCTCTTCATTGTGTTTACACTTGTTGCTTTTATTGACTTTGCTGTTAGGACAGTAATGTTGTATGTTTGAGTAGTAGTGTGGTGATGTGATACAGACAATTGGTTCCAACGGAATATTATTCTCACAGTGAGAATCATTGTATATGTTGGTGTTAACGTCTGAATACTATTCCCACAGTTAAGTAGTGCATTGGCAACAGAATACTATATATATTTGAACATTCTATATCAAGTTGTTTAATGTAAACCAAAGTCACTCGCTCAGTGTTTGGTTAGAGAATGTAAACTGTATGTATATAAACAGCGGTTTGATCAATGGAAAATATACCTTGGATTCCGAGTCTTGACTTCTGTTGTGACTTATATATATATATATATTTGCAGAAAATAAGGGTTATCAAGATTCAATACATACACTATGCTGGGTGTCTGTAAGCGACGTCATGTTGCTGGCAAATAGAGATGGAACATAAGTAAGGTGTTTCCCACCTGTGCTGGCAGTCAACCCCAGTTCGCTCTTGGAGTGTGGATGAGTGCGGGCGATCCCGAAATTCGTACTTCCCAGCTTACCTAGCAGTGTTTCGTAGCTGGGGTTAAGGTATGTAGACACAACTCAAGAAACTAAGTCAAAAAGGATGCGTGTGACCAACTTCAAGCAAGTTGTCCTGTGCTATCAAGCAACACTGTGTTGGTCCTTCTGTTTCATGTATTTTAAGAAATACCTACACTGGGTTTTATCATATTGTGGATAATTCATTGAGTCCAGTATAAAGACTGCAGATATTTGGCTTCATTACTGATTAGTACATGTTTCATAAATACGCTAAACAATGTAATGTTTGATTTGAAGAAGGTGAGCGATTGTTGGGGAATTGAGTTTTTGGATCATATCAGATGTTTGGGAGGATACTTTGTGAGTAGTTGGAAACACACTTATTTTCAACATCAAATGAGGAAACTAGTGTTTAGTGAACTGACTAATAATTTATGTAGAACTCTGACAAGTGCTTTTATTTATAAGATGAATAGAATTTAAGCAAGGATCCAGCACAGCAGATAAAGCTTATTCAAATGTTGAGTTGTCCAGTAGAAGTGTTTACTAGAAATCATCAATAAACACGGTTGGTTTTGTTAGTCTGTTATTTTTATAGATTTACTTATTTCCACTTGAAAAGAGTTGCTAGTGATAATATATGAAGACATGAGTATAATGAAATTTTCAGTCTCGTAAATACTGAATGGAGAAGATGGTATTCTCATACTCTGTGTATTTTTTCATTAGACATCATTCTATGTCTTTAAGTTTAGTTAGAACACTTCTAAATACATATAGAGATGTAGCTGGTTGAATTTCAATCAATGGGGCTGAGATTCATACTCCACCCCATCCACTACAGCTCAGTTATATCAACAGCCCTCACACAGTAAGGCACATTAGTCTTTTTCTCATCTGTGATCCGTGTGGAACAAAGGGGTTCCAAGCTTTTGGAGTTTCAGTACCGGTTGTGTTGTTGGTTTTACGAGGTGGTGCTGTTAGACCCACATCTAACCTTCCCTTTTTTCCGGGCTTACTACCTACCGGCAATGAACTAGGGGAGGTTTCGGAATTCGTCAACCGGATCTGAAAACCTCCCTCGTGGGGGTTGGTGAACAATCTGTTAATATTGCCATCGTGATAAGATCTTCAAGAACGTTTTATGGATTATATTGAAATTCGTCATTATTTTGCAGTAGACTGTAGTTAATTATCGTTTGAAAACATTCTAAAAATTAGTCATCTTATTGACTCACTCACTGAGAGTTTTATGCCATGATATTTGGATTACATTGGGCAGTTATCTAACCGTAGAATTCACTCTACACTGACTACAAATAACAAAATCTGGAAGAATGCAACAGTATAAATGACTACTATTTATTTTTTTCGGTTACAGCTTGATGCCACACCGTATTTTCAGTACAAGTATGGAATTTTCAGCATGGATATCGGTAGCCCAAATTTTACAGGCCGACCATAGATATCGGGTGTGCGTCGGCAGGGGATCGAACCTCGGACCATGTGCATGGTCGGCGAGAGTCCCAACCACTGTGCCACCGACGCACTTATAATTGAAAGAGACTTGAGTTTTAAAGCGTTTTGGAACTACAGGTAAAGAGTTTTGTCCTTTATGATAAGTGTAGGTTACAGGAAATGTAGTATTATTTGACAGCTGGACGGTGAAGTTATTTTCTTTTCATTTGTCAACACACTATCCCGTTGGATATGATGACTGCTTGTCAAATTTTGTTTTTATCCATACTAAGCATTTGCTCTGTATGATTTTTTTGTGAGTGTAGGTTTACAAACTTGACGTCTGACTGCTTTTATCAGCTAACACTAACTTAGTTTGTCTAAGGCGATGTTGGTGGGACAAATTCTAAAATCAGTCAGATATAAGCCACACCTTCATTGTCAGTGAATTTGACTTGAAGTCACCTCAGTTGTTAGTCATTTCTGAGTGATATGAGGATGGTGGCATCCGTTTATTCATCAATGTAATTGACATACTTATTGCCCATGTACTAAAATACAATAATCATTGTGGTGTTGGAAATCATCTGCAGAAATTGTAAGATCCCAGTATTAGCAGCCAAGATGTACCGAAATTTATTATTATTATTATATTTGACAGCGTCGATCGAGAGGTGATTTGGAAACTACTTCGCTACTACGGAGTGCCGCCAACAATTATACATCTCATCCAACAGTTGTACGACAATGCTGCTTTCCAAGTAATCCACAACGGAAAATCACGGAATCCTTCGAAGTGAAAACGGGAGTAATGCAAGCTGGCTGCCTACTATCTCCAGTGATTTCCCTGATTACGGGTGGTAGACTGGATAATGCGACAGAAAGCGGGTAACGAGGAGACAGGCATAAAATGGACCGACACAAAAAACTTCGAGGATCTCGACTTCTCCGATGGTATATGTCTGATTTCCCACAAACTGGAAGATATGCAAGTGAAAAGCAACAAGTTGGCTGAAGAAGCATGAAAGACAGCCCTTCAGGTGAACATAGAGGAAACAGTGATGAAGACTCCTGGCCAACAGCAACAACAACAGACAACGATCAGCATAAATGGAGGACATCTGAAAGAAGTAACCTCCTTTACCTACCTATCTACCTGGGAGGCATCGTTTCAACCACAGGTGGAACTGACGAGGATATCAAAGCGAGGATCGGGAAAACAAGGCAAGTTGTCATTTCTCTCAAGTCTGTGTGGTGATCAACAGCACTCAGCATGAAAAATAAGATCCGAATTTTCAACTCCAATGTGAAGTCAGTGCTACTATACGGATCAGAGACTTGGCGCGTCACGAAGGGCACTTTGAAAAAACTGCAGACCTTCATCAACAGCTGTCTTCGCTCAATACTCAAGATCAGATGGCCGGCTAGAAAAAATTAGCAATAGGGATCTCTTGGAGCTAACCAACCAGGAACCGATTGTGCAACAAATAAGCAGGAAGAAATGGAGGTGGATTGGCCATACTCTGATAAAACCATCAAGTGACATCACACGACAGGCCATCGCTCGAGTGGAAGCCGAAAGGGAAGCGGCGAGTTGGTCGTCAGTGCGAGGGTGGGGTGACATGGAGGAGGTGATGAAAGCATGTGCGCATACGTGGAACCAGATGAAAACGTTGGCAGTGAACCGAATGCAATCGAGACGTGTGGCTAAAGCCTTATGTTCATCTGTGAACTAAAGGAAACAATAATAAATGATAATAATAATACTTACTGTTAGTATTATTATTATACTAGCAATTAGGAGATATCGAATAATAAAGGTCGTATATTACGATGGAATAAGATGTAAAACAAATAAAAATAAAGCTTCAATTTCAACACAGTCTATTCTGAACCACGTCACTTAAAATGTTCATCCATTGTGTGTAGTTTAGCTTTTGAAATTAATGATCTGCGACTCCAGTGTAATTTCGGTGGTTATGAATCATGATCATTATGTGTTTCAGATTATTAGGTCCTGACCAAGTGATTTTTTTCAGTTGAATACAGCTAAATCATGCCTGTCACACTGATCGACAGCGAATGACTTCATCCCCTTCAGTCTTGGTTTCACTGAACAATATTCAAGTCATCATAGTCAGATATTGAAACATTCAATAAGAATATCGTGTGCATTCCCAATGCAGTTCAATATTACGAGTGTTAGTGCTGTTTCTATGACGTATAGACCTCAGTCTACTTTTAGGGTGCAAATGAATTACTTTTGTGTTCTACTTAATAGCTAATAATTTATTTAGTTTCAAAAGCGAATGGGTTTTAAGGAGGAGGAATATTTTCACCAGATAACGATACCCAGGGAAGTCAAATAAGTACATATATATATATATATATATATATATATATATATA